TTTGACTGTAATCGGAACTGTGTGAAGACGACTCCAGAATGGAGTTTCGTCGATTCCGTTAGCTCTGTTGGGTGATTTTGGACTTAGAGGCGTGTCCAGATTGTATTTTGGAGGTCTGTAGTTGAATTATGCTTGAAATGGCGAAAGTCGAATTTTTAGGGTGTTTGACCGGAAGTGTACTTTTTGATATCGGGGTCAGATTCTGATTCCGAAAATTGGAGTAGTTCCGTAATGTTGAATGTGACTTGTGTTCAAAATTTGAGGCCAATCGGACGTGGTTTGATAGGTTTCGGCATACGTTGTAGAAGTTTGAAGTTTCAAAGTTTATTGAGTTTGGATTGGAGGGTGATTTGTATTTTGTTGTTGTTTGATGTGTTTTGAATGCTCGATTAAGTACGTATGGTGTTTTAGGACTGGTAGGTATGTTTGGTTGAGGTCCCGGAGGCCTCGGATTGATTTTGGGTGGTTAACAGATCATTTTGGACTCAGGAAAGATTGTACATTTTCCGGTGTTCTCCAGTTATGGTTTCCTTCTTCGCGTTCGCGAGGGGAGTCCCGCGTTCGCGCAGAAGAATTGGCCAACTGGGTCCCCGGTCCCTTTTGCCTACGCGTTCACGATGTTTGTCCCGTGTTCGCGTAGAGTCGAGTTGAGTGACCTTCACATTCGTAAAGGAGGAATGCCTGGGCTGTATTAAACATTTTAAAATGAGGGTTTGGCTATTTTTATCAAAACTTGAGATAGAGAGCTCGAATTTGGATGGGATTTTGAGAGATTTTCAAAGATATCGATTGGGTAATGATTCTACAATTTTTTTTGGTTATATCCCACTAATCTATCATTAATTCCATCCTTTAATTTCGGATTTGGGTTAAAAAATTTGAAAAAATGGGAGAAGTTCTTCAACTAAGTTTTTTAGTTTTGATTGGGATTTTGACATCGAATTTGGATAGTTTTGGTACGGGTGAATTCGTGAGTGAATGGATGTTTATATTTTATGACTTTTACCAGATTCTGAGACGTGAGCCCAGGTCGACTTTTTGGGGCTGTTTTCTAATTTCTTTCTTAAGCTTTGATTTCATTAATTAGATTATATTTTCATAGTAATATTTATGGTATGTAATTCCTTTTGGCTAGATTTGGGCCATTCGGAGTCGGATAATCGTGAAAAGTAATGTTACCGATTGATTGAGCTATGTTTGAGGTAAGTATCTTGCCTAACCTTGTGTGGGGGAACTCCCCTTAGGATTTGGTACTCTTGTGATATGTAAGCATCGTGTACGTGAGGTGACGAGTGTGTACATGGGCTATTTGTTGTAAAATCTGATTTTTACTGAGTAATAAACTATTTCTTCTTAATTGAGTTATACCAGCATGTGTAGTTATCCTGTTTAGCCTAGAATATTATATCTACATGCCTTAAATGCTTATTTGAACTCTGTACATCATGCTTACACTACAAAAAAATAGTGTTTAGTTACGGAATTTAGCGACAAGAGATATACCGTAGCTACATAATGACGGATTAACGACAAATTTTGTAACTTGTCTCCAAATAAGCTACAAAAAGAATTGTATTAATAATAGCGACGGAATAGAGACAAAAACCAATATTCGTTGCTAAAATTGGCGCTAAATATGAGCGCCTTTATTTTACCTACAAAATTAGCGATGAAAGTGCAGCGACAAAAAGTATTAAAATCTAGCAACGAATTTAACGTCAAAAAATCCGTCACTGCATTCATTTTAGTTATCAAGACATTCCAAAGTTGATTGCGATAAAAATTTTCGTCGCTAGTTTCCTTAAAATAAAGCTTCATTAGATGATAGTAGCAACAGAAATTTGGTCCGTCGCTATTTCCGTTGATAATATCTAGTTCCATTAAAGTAAATTTTCATTAGTTATTATTAGCGACAAAATTTGATCCATCGCTATTGTCGTCGCAAAAATTCCGTCTAAAAGACGGATTATTCGAACGATTAGGGCAACAACTCACTTTCTCTCCTCTCTATCAGACTCCTTCACTCCTTCAACAATGTGATTTTTTTTCTTTAAATACAAAAATCGGGCGTGAATCTAGGATTATTGTATGAAAATTAGATCAAAATTGCAAGATTTTTGCTGCATAACTCTGAAATTCGAAGTCGTATGTTGCTGCTCCGTAAGATTCTCAGGCGAAAAGGTAAGCTTCTTTGTGATTTCTCTTCCTTCTCATTCTACAGAAAGACATACAAAATCTGTTGGGTTCTTCTTGAGCATCCAGGTCTGCATCCGCTTTCCCTTTTTTGTTTCTTCCTAATTTAAAAAAAAATGGTAAGTTTATACCCTTATTTTCCATTGATAGATACAATGTGAATAGGCCTCATACTTGTTGAATTAGATATGAGTACATGCAGCGATGGAAGTAAATCCAATGTACTATTCTCATCATTATTCGACCGAAATTTTACAACTTTATTAGAAGAAAATGATTCCAATGATTTTTCATTTTTCAGTTGGGCATTTAATAGTTTCTTTGAAATGTCCCTGGACTTCCCTGGTCCCTCTTAGAAATTTCCTTGTAAACTACTTGCGTATGAACCAATTTTCCTACTCCACCTATTTTTATTACACATTGGATTATCAAAAATTGGATTCCTCGTGTTTGATATTTCAACTAAACTAGATATGTATCTGAAAAAGACTTTAAGTTCGAGAGAAGGTTGTATACTATTAAACCTGTGCCGACAGAGAAATTAGACTCTTAGATTTTACTTATTGTGTCAAAATATAGTCTTATACATTATTATCTGACCAGAAAACATGATTTTTTGTAGTGCTGATCTTCATTTGCATAAAGGGATTTTACTTAGGCTAACAGTTATATTCTGTTTTTATATTTGATAACATGCTTTGTCTGCTTTCGCATGTTTTACTGGCTTCTACTTGTTTTGTCCTTCAAATTTTCTGCCATCTAGTGCTTATAAGGAATTCTTCCATGCCTTTGATTTGCTTCCTTACTCCAATTATCAATCAATCCAATATGTTAATGCATTGTTCCACAAATTCCTCTTCACTGCTCGGCCCACACTGACTGTAGTGGTAGAGTTGCAAAATTAAATGAAAAGTCCATCATGTAAAAAATGAAGAGTTTAAAATTAAAAATTAGTGTTTTTCTGATTGTAATTTTTCTTACTAAATGTGAATGGAGAATATATATTCAGTACCAGGTAAGTAGAGAAGTGGGCTTTTTCTGACCCAAGAGTAAAACAGAAACCTCCAGCTTCTTCACTTGGCTCATTACAGGCTGGAAGACAGATCACTCTCACAAGAATATAGAAAGTCAACCCCCTTTATAGTAACTCTAGCATGAAGCCCACCTATAAGAAAATGAACTAAAAAGATTAGTTGAATCTGGAAATTTAAAGGGAATGAAAATCAGATAAATTTTGGATTGTGGAAACAAATACTGTCCTTTTAGTTTTGAATTGTGAAGATTTTTGTCCTACTTTTGCATTTGCTATACACTAATTTATTTTCCCTTTGTTTGAAAATTTTCTTTGCAGGTCGACAAGAATTTATGTGGTAAAAGTTCTCATAAAGATTCAGTTTTTATTAGTCTTCGTGCTTGATCCAAAAGGCATTTCAGGGTCTGGTGAGTTCTCATGTCCTTGTTCTGTTGATTGTGCTTTTTCTATTGCATTGGTTTAATTTAATAATTATAAATTACATTTTGGGGCATTGTAATTAGTATCATTTTTGACTTATATAATCCTCAATATATATCATTTCATTTGTGTATTTGAGGTTCTTATTTTGGTCAAAGAAAGGAACTGAGCATTCCAAGATTTGTTTTCATTCCAAGATTGTGGTATTAGTATTCTCATCTTATTCTAATGTCAACTTGTTATTCTTTTTAGAAAGCATTCTGATGTCTTATTAAATAAAGAACTCTAAGATCTTGTTTATTTTAATAGTAAATAGGAACATGGACAATCTAAAACGTGATTGGATGTACAAAAGGTTGGATGGCCGAGGGGTTATTAATTCATGTTTCATAACTGGTGTGAACAAATTTCTCCAGTTTGCTTGTTCTCAGCACAATCGCATGAGTGATGACAATGTTAGATGTCCATGTAAAAATGTCACAACATTAAATACTTGGATGCTGAAACTGTTAAATTACACATTTATCAATATGAATTTGTTGAGAACTATTTTCTTTAGAAGTATCAAGGAGAAAAAAATGTGATCGGTGAGATGTCTTCTAGTGGTGATTTGCATGGTGGCGCTCAACCTGAATCTGGATATGAGAATCCATATCGACAAATGGTCTTGGATGCAGCTGGACCTAATTTTGGCCATGGTTTGAGCTAGCAGTCGTATAATAATACTGAACCTGAGTTGTCTCATTCTTATGAACTTCAATGCCGGCAGAGCCTAATCCTTCAATGGAGGAGGAGCCAAATCTTGAGTGCCAAAGGTTTTATGATTTGTTACAGGCCGTTGATGCAAAATAATACCCTGGTTCTTCCCTCTCTCAACTCACAGTGATTTCTAGGATGCTAAATATATACTTTATCACAAAGAGGTTATAACAAAATGATGCAATTGATGAAAGAGGCTTTACCAGAAGATAACACAATGCTTGATAACTATTACGAGACCAAGAAGCTAGTGCGTAGCTTGGGTTTGCTAATTGAAAAGATTGATTGTTGTAATTTTGGATGTATGTTGTATTGGGGTGAAGATGAGGACCTCACATCTTGCATGTTTTGTGGCCACCAGAGGTACAAACGTTGTGTCGGTTCTCGTAAGAGGAAATTAATCCCTTACAAAAAAATGTATTATTTTCCTTTGATTCCTAGATTGCGGAGATTATATGCATGTCATGCTACAACCACTGATATGAAATAACATCATGAGCACATACAAGAGGAGGGCGTAATGCGTCATCCATCAGACTCTAAGGCTTGGAAGCATTTCAATAAAACTCATCCCTTTTTTGCTGCTGAACCAAGAAATGTGAGGTTTGGATTATGTACTGATGGTTTTCAACCCTTTGGTCATTCAGGGAGGAAATACTCATCATGGCCAGTGATTGTCACTCCATACAATTTTCCTCCAGGGATGTGTATGAAAGAGGTGTACATGTTCTTAACTGTCATTGTTCCAGGGCCAAACAACCGTAAACAAAAAATTGATGTTTATCTACAACCTTTAATAAAGGAATTAACCTTGTTGTGGGAGACGGGTGTAGAAGCATTTGACATCTCAAAAAAACAAAATTTTCAATTAAGGGCCGCTTTGATGTGGACAATCAATGACTTTCCAGCATATTCTATGTTATCTGGATGGAGTACTGCCGGTAACTTAGCATGTCCTTATTGTATGGAGGAAGCACAATCCTTCAGATTATGTCATGGTGGGAAAACAACTTGGTTTGACAGTCATAGAATATTTCCTGACCATAATCATCCATTTAGGAGAGATCGTAAAAACTTTCATAAAGGTCAGTCTATCAGAAGGCTACCACCACCCCTTAGAACAGGAGAAGAAATCTTGAAGCAAATTTGTGAGTTGGGACTGAGAAATGTAACTGATCTAGATGCAGAAGAAGTTAATGGGAGAATTTGTAGGTGTTATGGATGGAAAAAGAGAAGCATCTTTTGGGATTTGCCTTATTGGAGCTCTAACATGATCCACCATAATCTCGATGTCATGCATATTGAGAAGAACATCTTTGATAATGTATTTAACACAAATCTTAACGTTGATGGCAAAATAAAAGCCAATACAAAGGCACATGAAGATATGGTAAACTATTGCGATCGACCGCAATTGGCAAAGAATCCTATTGATGGAAACTATCCCAAAGCTGCATATACAATAGAGAAGATTCAAAAAATTTCCTTGTTCAATTGGTTGGA